TGATCTTTGGAGTTACATACAGGTTGGATAAATAAGTGTTTGTGTGTGTGGGTGTGTGTGTGTGTGTGTGTTTGTGTGTATGCAAGTTTCTCTTCTCAGTCGATTCGTCTTGGTGGAGTATTGTATGGATTTTAATAAATCCATACATAAAATACATAATTTGTCTTGTATCACTCTTTGGTTAGTTTTACTTGTTTGTTGGTTGGGTGTTTTTTTTTTTTGCGTAAAGTTACGAGAGGTTGTGATAATTTTCAATATTGCAAGAAGGGGGAGAGCTTTCATTAAGTAAAAATAGATCATTATAATTGGATCTTTGTTGGCAATATTTGAATTTCGAATAAATATTTATTTTTATGAAATTGACAAGCTATTAATCCGAAAACCAGCGCTTGCGTTCTTTTAGTAATAAATATGGGACAGAGGTGGAAATACAAATTTTCTTATATCAGGCATGAAAACATTTGACCAATATTAACTCTTTGCATGACTCATAACGCTGATAACCGATTGAGACTTTATACTTAATTCATTTAATTTTCAAAAGTGTAAAATCGAGGCGTTGAAATTAACGTATTTGAACATATTAATATTATAGTTATTTTAAAACTTATGAAGACTTTGAAGTCAATTAAGTAGTGTATTAAGACTTGCAGATTACTTAATAAACATTGTAAATGGTAATCTATTAAGACTTTGAAGTTAACTATGTTATTTGTGTGAGAATAAACAAAAAAACTACTCCAGAAATTCCATAGGCAAAGTTCCTAAAGAAACAATTTAGTTACAACCGATTTTCTTTTTTCATTTTATTTGAATACGGAAATTGAATTTAATTTTACTCTTAACTTTGGACAACATTTTTCCCCGGTGAATACGTGCTACTCGTGCCGAGTAACTTATCATGCAAACAAACAACTTCTTATAAAAACAAGGGCGGAAAATGTTCAGTTTGCGTAAGCTCTACTGAAGCCTAAAGTTTCTACTAGCAGGTTTCGATGTATCTAACTATATCGACCCTCTCAAAGGGAAATTTTAGGATTATCAACTGAACACATTGCTAGATTCAAAACATGCCGAAATGATCAAAGTGAGGTGGTCTTTCAAAGTCAGAATGAATTGATATTGGTTGACTCCGAGAATAGAACTTTTCTAGGAACTGAATCGGCAAAACTTGTAGTAGAACTTTGCTTGACTCCAGCGATAATTAAGAAATGGTATGTCCCGTTAAATTAGAAACTTACAAATCATCAACAATTATTCCTCGAGCCCGAGGGGCTCTGAGTCAGTAGCCCATGAGGCCGAAGGCCGAATGGGCTATTGACTCAGAGGCCAGGAGGGCGAGAGGAATAATTGTTTTAGTAATATCCAACTAGTCGGTCAAAAATATCGAGAATAAAAAACTTATAGTTAGTTAAAGCTAGACTTTAATCCTTTTTTGCCGCAAAAAAAGCCCACGCTTTTCGCTACTAGTGGGCTATAACATATAGCCTAGCAGTAGCTCAACCAATCAGAACGCAGCATTGATAATAGACCACTAGTTTGATTTTACTAATCAGTATTAACCGTGACTGTTAACTAAAAGGGGTGCGTTCTGTTTAAAGTGAATTGATATTCATTGGTGGTTTCCGCTTCAATGAGGCAGTAAGACTTCCCTAGCAACTCGAAAAAGGAAAATCTATAAATGGCTACAGTTAAAACTAAGTGTCTGAAATGTATTCAGAGTTATGTTTTTCATATGCAAACTACCCAACTGACAGTTAAGGCAATATTCGCGCGATTGAGAAAGTTGTAATGTTTTAAAGCAAGAAGTGTAGTCTTATACGGCCCGTTTTGGCCGGTGCGGCCGTAAATGGATTAATAAAAGTTCATATTTTATAATTAGAGCACGATTAAACATGCCATTGAAGCTCTGTATAACCGGCCCAAAATGTCTGCCAGAAGTCTGTCTCTTCAAATTTAAAATTATACTTAGTTTCAAAAAGATTTTTTCCATAGCCATTCCTTAGGCCAATTTCTATAAAAAAAAAAACAACAACTCACTTATAACTTTATTTCTCAGTTTATTTGAATACATAAAGATCATGAATTTAAGTTACCCCAACATTGGACAACATTTCTTTTCCTCATGAGAAAGTGCTAAATTTCATTTTTTCGTGTGTGACTTGTGTAGTGCTGTACATGACTTCTATCACAAAACACTCCTTGACAGAAGTAAGTCAAACATGCAAAAATCCAGCTAAACCAACATATCTCTTTCTAAAGATATATTCTCAAGGTTTTCTCTTTTTCCAAAGGAAAATGGAAACATTTTTCTAAGAATAATTAGTGGCATCATCCGTCAATATAACCGCCATTCTTGGGAGTTCGTGACAAAAGCGCAGCTGAATGGCGCCAAAAGCCCCAGGCTATGGAACCTACAACCCATTACAATTATGGGTCGTAGGTTCGATAGCGCTAATTATTCTTAGAAAAATGTTTACCACTGCAAACCACTGTACGCTTTGCTTTATGCCTTTAACCAATTCATCCATAAGAAAATTTAAGCATATTGTTTTCTTACTTCTCATAACGTATTAGAATAATAAAACCAAATGAAAGAAGGAAAAATTTTGGCAGCAGTCAAGTAAAACCTGTAGGTTTAAGGTCTTACCAAGACAAGCGAGTCTAAAGAGGTTCATTTTCTAAAAGAACCCCTACTATGATTGACAGAACAGTGATAAATGATTGGTAGATTTTAATCCATTGTTTCTTATTGGTCGATCTTATTGGTCGTTCTAATTTTGATTGATGGAAGAGTAAT